TTTTCAAACCAGAAATGTCCGTACAGCTGTTATCGACAGCGGTGCGTCAGTCCTTAATTTCGGTTAAATTCTCAGAATTTAGTAAGAAAGATCTAAGCTGAGGTGCAAAACGTTGCATCACTAACAGACATTAGTTTTGCCTCATTATTGTCTCTGGTACTTAATTAATAGTAGCCTAAAATCTAGGAAAATTCGGCTCTGACTTGTCAGAACGAGTCTGTAGTCGAAGTGGTTTCTTTAATTGAAGAGAAGCTTTCATATTAATATAGAACCAAATCAGATGTAAATTCTTCCTTATTTCATAAGGCTGATATCAAGTAACCCTATGTAGCTTTGTTCAAATGTCTTTCAATTGGTATACATATGTTTATTGAAGCATTGACTATACGAGAACTGAGACCGCCTTTATGTGTCCAAAAAATCTGTTGTTGCTATTAACCCATCATAGTAACGCTAGTTTATTATCTAATATGGTTTACACATTGGTTTTATACACGTTATTAACTAACCTTACGAGTGGCCCATTTTTCAGCATTCATTCAGCCTCTATCAAAAACGTCTTCAAAGGCTCATCCGTCAATACCTTCCGTAACGTGAATGATTGTAGAATTCCTCTTGTTGACTTTATGATGCGTTCCCATACACAGCCTCGTTGATTAGCTCTCGCAGGGTCAAAGTACCATTCATAACCTCTTTCCAAAAGAATATTTGCTATAATATTCTGGTCTCAACTACATACAATCTTTCCAAGACTGGAGTAGGCTCCTCTGAAATTCGAACCGTCGTTCCTAAACACATGTTTCAGGCGACCGATCCTAGCAAAGAATCTCAAGAGCGCGCGTAAAACGAGTCAGTATCCAAGGTGTGGGTCATTTTGGTACAAACTGCTATAATAAAGAGGCAAGTGAATAAACCGCCGTATCGTTTCTCAGCAACTCGACTCTTCTCAACGTAAAATGGTCCAAGAGAGCCTATGCTAACATAATTGGATGATGGTACGAAACCTCCAAAGAGATATTCAAGTAGTGGAGCCATAATCTGTGTGTCGGCGTACTGCATGAGAGGCACTTTTTTAGGACTTTTTTGATAGCAGCTTGAGCCTAACTCTCATTTTCTTACCAGCAGATATGGAGTGTCATTTCTTTATTCAAAACAAATGCACCTACTCTCCTCGGTTTTTCTTGCGATTAACATGTTTTGCCATGCTCGCCTTTATGCCGTATTCGACTTAGTGTCTCCATTTTTATGGGAAATGAAATCATTTGAATCAATTTAATTATATTCTGCTTCTCATTACCAATTTTTTCCGGTCTCAATCTATGAAGAAATAACCGTCTCCTATCTAATCTCATCCTCAAACTGTCGACGAAACGTTCGGTTCGTGAAACCACTCATTTAGTTTAATGCTACCATCTAACGACAATCCATGCAATCCACAGGATTCTGTTTACTTTGAACGTATATACATGGGATGGATGTAGACATTTCGCGAAACGTTACTAATCTATTACTTACGAATCTCCCAAAACGTTTGGTTGTGTTTCTTATATAATGAAATGCAATTAATGAATCCGTACAATAAAAGATAGAAGAGAATTGGATACACAATTGTTGTTTCATGTGTTTTCCAATCTTAGCACACAAAACAGCAGCCGTTAATTTCATTCTAGGAGTGATCATAGGTTTCAGTGGGGCTAGTAGAAAGGAGCATACGCCACAACACCATATACAAATTTCGAGGCAAAGTACTGAATTCGAGTAGTTAGTGGTTTGTAAGATTCTGGCACGAGACATCTGGGAAGTAACAGTTTACTTGGGAGCCTCATACCTCTGAGCCGACAGTCCAATCTCATAAAGCACTCCCTAGAAGGCTTTGCGTTCCACGCCAGATTTTCCAACAAGTATCCTGCATAATTAAATTAGCTAGCAAAACACCTGCTATAAACCCAAATGGGTCGAATATCGAGACTATATGTGATAAAATAGTTCTCTTCATAAAGGGTTGTTTCGAATTTGCGCACTCCAAAGCAGATCTTGTACGTTCGAACATCCCAGTCTAGTCGTAGATTTATTGCGTTTATTTCCAAATATAGACATATGTCTATATTTTTTTCTATGCTGTCTTCCTCTGGAACAAACTTCATTAATCCAGGATTGTTGCTGGTTCAATTGGTCAGATTTAAACCCCTTAAACGTAACATTTCCTTCATTCGAGAATATGTTCATTTAGCTTCTTCTAACGTTTCAATACTGGTCAATAAATCGTGGACACTGAAGTGTTCCTTTGATGGCTGTAGAATGCATTCAGGAAACCTGTCCTCAATAGCCAGGATAGTTCTTTGTAGAGCAAACGATGAGCAACTTGATGAGGAGTTCGCACCGAACGAATTCTTTCTACCTGAGGGCATCACGATCCTGCAACGGGACAAACACTTGGTGGAACATATCTTCAATATCTGCTGCGAGACCTATATGCCGTTGCTGAAACCTGGTGAAGACATATACCAGACTGTTGACTAAATCTGGATTTTATTCCGGGACGTCCTAGTATATTATGCTGCATAGTCGAATACGATTCCTAGCTTATTAGGTTTGTTCGGATGGAAGACACTGTGGTGCAGTAAATACCAAAGCCGACAACTAATCGAGTTCTCCGCCGTTTTTTTAGGACTATCCCCGTTCAACATGCTCTACCATCACACTAACATAATCATTATGCAATCTCTGGTCATGGATGAGCCGGTTCCTCCAGGAATTTATTATACTCATCGCCAGTTTTCGATTATTAAGTAGGCTGTGTTGGTGACGTCATGGCAAATCTATTTGGTAATGCTCGTTTACTAACTGTATGGACTTGGACATAACATCCAAGGCTTTACGATCATCAAACGACATGAGCACACAGTGATTCGGGTCGTCTTCAAAGTCTATCTTATATAACTGCTCTAGTCTAGCTCCTAGTTCAACTTTGGACGATAGGTAATTTAAGATACTCATATTTTTCGTGGTTTCATGGCAAGATATAAAAAGCATCCACCCGAAAGTCCTTGTAGCGTACAGTTCAATAGATTTTCCCACTCTCTTTTCTTTTGTCCTATGTGCCTCACGTACATACACCCTATCAGTACGTTGATAACTCTTGGGAGGGTCACACTGCGCAAGTGAGATCGCGATGCTGGAATTCTGGATGATGAAGAATAATCTTAGGGGGTAACTTCTAGTCGCACCTATTTGCAATGATATGTGGACTGGCTATCCAGCGTTTTCAATAGAACCGACTCAGACCCTCCTTCTAAACCCAGCATTCTAGCTAGATCTTCTATAATAAACGAAGCGTTTGAGCCGCTATCTACTTAAGCGCAAGTCCGTACCGCCCTTTCTCCATTTTTTACCATCACAGGCACTATTGAAAATGCTACTTGTCTCTATACATGATTAGCACCTTCCTCCGTATCGAGTCAGGTATTAATGTAGCCATTACTATTACTGTCTTCCCACTTCAGGTGTAAAATGGTATGGTGTCTCTTTCGGCAGCATACGACCTCGGTGCTCGACAGTTTCTTGGTATGTGGTTCGCCTTCAGAGAGACATTACAAAACTCCTTTAGCACAAACTCTATCATATCATTAATATCCATATGTCTGAACCATTCATATTGGTCTAAAGAGTGGTTTTCAGTACATAATAGACATGACAACTTAAGGGTGCTTGGTCTTACGTGTAGTGTGACATCAGACCCACACGTGTTAGCGAACGACATTCCAGCCGTATACTTTGAATCAAGGTTCCTCTTAGTAACAAAAACCGACTGCCTTTGGTCGCGATTAGAGGGATCTCCACCGACAAGTAATCCGTACTTGGTTTTAGCAACACACGACTGCTCTCCCACAAATTTGCAAAGGTCTTTAGGTAGAGGCTCTCCCTCTTCTAGTCCAAGCAATACACAATGAACAATAGTAGCATTAGCTTTACAATCACAATACTAAACCAAATAGTTTAGCATAGATCTACTTCAAACACTCATCGAAATTCCGTATGAAACTCCAGTAGTGCAGGAGATTACCATCAAACCTTATGATCTCTCTCTTCGGTAGGTTTAAAGATTTAGATATCATTGTTACCCAATCCTTTCCAGGAGGAACACCAACTGCACGTGAGGAAGATGTAGATTCGTACATCACCTTTTCAGCCACATAATGTCTATGATGTTCTCTTGCCTTGTGACGTAATCTTTCCAACCCAATTTCTTTGTCTGAGTTAAGTTTACTCTAATTAATTTTAACTCTAATAAGGGATCCATTCGGTAGCCGTTTTCTTCAAACTGAATATCAGTATGATTTTCTGAATAGTGGGGAGACAATTCAGTTTTATGATTCTCCGTAGACATTAAGAAACTCAACGTATGGATTTCTGATGAGTTACTGGTCAAAGTCTGATTTGTCCTACAGATATACTACTAGAACTGTGACGCAATGCTGGCAACCTCAGAGTCTATGTGAAAGATATATTCAGAACATGGACAACTTGGCTTTAAACTTTATCTGTTTCTAAACGTAGAAATAACAATTTGATTACTACAATAATTAAAGTAATTATAGTCATTAAGTGGAACGCACAAACGTACCGACCAGTATCGCCTGTTTTATCGAAATGAATAAAAATTACGAGTCACACTAATATAATAGGATAATAATACCCTTCAATTGGCAAGTTACATGCAACAAGGATAGTCTACAAATATATCAGATTAAATCAACGTGGTGGGCGCTTAAACAACGATTTGATTGATTAGTTATGGATATAACTAACTGTTGTGACTTTAAGTTGTGGTTGATTTTTACCCTGTGCTAATTGTTGTGTCCTTGACTGAAAACTAGTGAGCAGCGTATTTATCGATCGATTCGATGACACGTAAACACGTACGAACGTAATGGACGACCTAGAGTTACGATTCCCTGTCTATCCCAGCCAGTTGAGTCCAGAACGCAAGTCACAGCCTCTGAGTTATGAATCGTTATATTTCAGACACACTGCTTATATACCAACCAGGCATACCACATCGTACCATAAAATAGAAAACAACATTTTGTACAATATTCAACAAGTGAACAGATATCGATCAATAGGAAGTGTCCATTTAAAGTCCAAGGACACCATTGGACTTAACATGATAATTATTGGTCTATCCTTCCGCATCCACAACACTAACAATAATGTACGATCAGATTGTTCGGAATTCGTTGCAAAAAAAGTATCACATCTGATAACCTTCATGTTACCATAGAATTATCCAAAATCTATCAAAGAGACTGATTATTTTAAATAGATTTTATATTAATTTGAACCAAATAACAATATAGATTAACTCTAAACATGTGTGAGAAATAGAATAAACAATGAAATAACTTTATCATTAAAATAAGCTGTTTACGCAACGGTTTCTTTTGAGATATGTAAATATACAAAAAATAATTATGTATGAAGTCAGCGATCAAAATCAGGAATGTATATATGAGAATCAGATTAGGCCATCAAGAGATATATCACACCCATAATTAGCAGTAAAATTGTAATAGGCATCACAAATACAAGGTAAGATAACAAAGGTATAGGAACAATGACAGAGAAAAACTGTTGACTGTTTATATTTTTGACATTATTGCCTTTTGGACAATTGAGTATAGGATGTTTAATTTCAGTAATATATATAGAATCATCATTAGTGTTATCAGTTTTTGTTGATGGGAGACTAAAAAGTAAAGAAATAATGAAAGTCTGAGATTAATAGAACAGGAGTTAATCTAGTTATAAAAGCTAAATGACTGAATATAAATGTGAAGTGATATTACAATGAGAAATCGGTTCAAAGTGAGGTCCACTTCCACCGAGGTTGAATCAGTCAAACACAATGTGTCAGCTATTAGATAAAAAGCACAAACTAAAGTGTAGTGAGTGAAATCTTGGATGTTTATTGGACCACATCAAGAATAATATGGATTTTGCATACACACTATGACATGTAATCGGTTTAATTAGCCTACCTTCTATAAGGATGCATAACAGAAGTGAATACTACTGAATACTACATGTTGGTAAATTTATGGTATCAAGCAATCACAGATATACAGTTATTTTTACTCATCATCGGACAAGACTTGATAGTCAGATCTTCATTCCACTGATATTTAAGTAATCTGTGAATTCTGTATCTCCCAGTCGTTTGGGTTTTAATGATTTTTCATTTTTTGTTTAATATTTCATACATAAGTGTGAAATTTTAGGGAAGAAAAACCTACTTCTCTGGTTAGTGACAATGATTCTGATATCAAATCATTTTGACGGTTTGAGTTGATAATTCAATCTCGTGAGAAATCATCGCTGAATTTCATCTACTAAAAGGTATTCTATTTATTTATTTTAATAATCGAAAACTTTTTAATCAAATGCTATAATTTTAATCCATAACAATAACGAAGTAATCGCCTATGAGCCCAAAGCTTTCTATGATGTCAAGTGATATTACTAGAATTGCATAGCAGTTTAAACCTGCAACCAGATCTTACAGAGATTTGACTTATCGAAAAACCCTTATGACCAAGTAACAACAAATTTTAAGACATCTAGAAAAAAAGGGAACCATAAGAAGCTTGAATTGTTGGTGTATTTATAAAAGTGGCTGGACATAATCAAAAAAGAATTAAGTTGTGAATGTTTGACTAAAATTTAAATAATACAAGGCATGATTCTTAATTATTAGAAAGGATGACAAACTCAAATCTAATACTAATGATTCGCACTTATCATCACATTAATAATGACTTAATTATAACTGAATACTAATAAACAGCATTACAGCAAACAGATATTTGTGAATTATTTATGTTAAATGACGGAAGGCAGTTGACACTTGTTAGCAAGGAGTACCTGAAATATTGAAGGAATTGATACTTTTAACAGAATTTAAACACATGTCACCTAATTCGCCAGTTTGATACATTACCATTGAGGTATTCGGGGCACGGTTGACTTAATATAGGACAAATATTTACAATTGACTGATCATTGAATAATGAACTTATGCCGTGTTTGGCCAGTCAGTTCGTGACGATAGGACTCTATTGATGAAGTTTCATTGTGTCCATTAGTTTAAATGAGTTGACATTATATGTCTTATGTTGAGATATTAGATGTACTCAGAACTCATTTAACAAATGAATACATAAATAAAACATACTGATATCGTAGATGAATAGGTAAATCTAAATAACTAATTGATTGATTTATCTCCAATTGATTAATATTAAATTTGAATATTAATGGTTTAGCAAGCCATTCTGGAGCTTCAATATCAACCAAATTATTTTGAATAATTAATTGTTTACTTTCATTGGAATGATCGATATTTTTCTTCTCCAACTTAGAATATGTAAACCAATTTACAAATTGTTTAATGGTATCATGTAATTTTGGTTGTATTTTCGATTGACTAATTGAAAATTTTAAGTTCGGTTGACTAGAAATTAATTCATATGGATCAATGAAAAAACCTAAAAATGAGTTAGAAAATATCAGTTAATTTATATTAAACAGTGAATAAAAAGGAATATAATACAATGAAATTGGGAAGCGAATGACCTAAAAACAGAAAAAAAGTTATCCATTTTGATGGAGTTTTATTCTCTGAGTTGTGCGGTTTGGTCGTGGAGCTTTCATCGTTCTTCTGAACGACATTATGAGCACAAACTTTAGGTAGAAGTGGACTATTCAAATTTGTTCACATGTGTAGGTATCATTACCAAGGTTTGATTTGATAATTTCGAATAAATTGAGCACTGGATAGATTGCTAAAAATAAATAGTATATTTTTAATATCCCAATGAGTAGAAAAATTAGATTTTCTGACGTTTCGTGGCTTAGTGTGAGTCACTTCTTCAGAGAATAAATAACCAAATTAAAAATATTGGGAGATACAACCAAAACAAAAGAGTAAACAATGACAGGTTTGAGGTCAACAAGAACCAATCAACATCGAGGTGTCCGGAACAAGCTGTGAACCATATGTCAACAAATTCGAACACTTCATGTCTACTTGAAGTTTGTGCTGATGATGTCGTTCAGAAGAACGATGAAAGCTCCACGACCAAACCATTCATTTCAGAGAACAAAACTCCATCAAAATCATTCACTTGAGCTACAAATCTCCAACATCTCAAAGTCGTCCAATTTTCTCGTATATATCTTTTAGATAACTGGTCTCCCATTAATAGAACAAGATTATTATCGGCTAGATTTACAAGAGACAGTTCTTACTTGCATATTTATTATTTAAACAAATAAAAATTATTACGAGGCATCAAATAGATATGCGCTACATAATTCATTCGACTTGCTCAAACCGAATCAGGTGGTTTTCTCAGGGAGCCACACCCGGAGCCTCCAACCTAAAGGTCTGATGCACAAGGCAGTGGAATAACGTTAGGAGATGCAGTCCCATGGTATCCGGTGATCAACGATTGGTTTATACACCATTTGTTCCCTCAGGATACTGGAGCCCATGTGCACCATTGGCTTGTAATCAGGGTTTTCCAACTCCCCTAGGTGGACTCTCCGTTTCAATCAACCCGGTTAAAGCGCAGGACATTCGCCTTTCGTCCTGTAAATTTGGTAAACAACACCCCCGCCACGAGAAGGTAGTGAGTAGGACCTTCCTAACAATGGTTGTATGCACATGGCCATGTGAGAACATTTCGAGAGAGAGGGCTAACTCTCCCCACTCTCGAACATACCAGGGCATTGGGGGGCTCTTATTTGCTTAACATTATATCTAATATATTTACAATTTTCTAGATTTCATTTCCAGATTATTACAATCTCACATCTTCGTTGTTCGTAATTATCATCGACTGCTTTCATTCTTGAATGTAAATGCGTACTATAGGCTTATTGAGTCATTGGATCACTTTTTCTGATATTCTTCTATATTTACGACTTTCTCAAACACATTACACGATCTTCAGTACAAGACGTACTTTTAAACTGCACGTGAACCGCCATATTTGAATCTCATGGGGAGGTTTACTTCTAACCGTTTTGCACAATGCAGTACATGAACATTAGTAGGTAAATTTAAGATAGGAGAAAGTTGGCTGAACTTGACATTTTTTGTAACATTAGTTTCTCTTTTTTAATGGATAACCAACAGATGTCTATTATTAGTAGACCTTAAGTTATGAAGCAGGTGATTTGATGAACTGAGAGCGCTATGGCTGACTTCGTTTAGACACTCTAGTTAATGGTATACAAAAACTGTTTGTTTCAAGACAGACTTCTTATCTTAGCTTCAAAATCACATCGACATGTATCCACGGCAAAATACAGAGTCTAACCCAAAACTCTGAAATATCTTTGGTAAGAACGATATTTTCTGATCACTAAACCGTAAATAAATCGTCAACATTGCCAATTAAAGTCGATTTATAACAAGTGCAATCTAACACTGATTTCAATTGAGTTGCTCATTTATTCTATTGTCGATTATTGTACGAAGAGTAACAATTTGAAAATTCCCTACAATTTTTTTTGACAAATAACATTATTGATAAGAGTATATAACATAAAATACAACATCATAATATACCTGATGATAAATGTACATGAAGTTGACAATGCTCCAGTAAACTAATTGAAAAATCATGGAAATCACAATGCAATCGAAGATGAAAACCGCGTTGAGTCATATTACAAGTAAAATAAGGTTGTACAGTATTAACCGAATTATTCAATGTAATAATAGTAGTATTAGCAGTAGCAGTAGTAGTAGTAATATCAGCGTAGGCAAATGACAGAATTGAAACTATACACATTATTAACATTTGAATCATCATTGTCTAATTTAAATAAATTACAAATGAAAAATAAAGGTATATAAATATATAATATCTTGAAAGTTACTTTAGATTACACGTCCGTTTACAAGACTGATAGCGGTTTAATCAAATTTGCTAGGTAATAATAGTAAAAATAAAAATTACTATTTACTGACTGAATAAGTATGAATTACAAATAAATTCTTACAGGTCAATATTCAACAATAAGTGTAATGAGCGGTGTAAAAGTCTGGGTAAAGTAGTTGGTTTTACAAATATATATTAGAGGTGAAGCATCATAAATTCAGTATATTGTAATCACAGATTCCTCTATGTAGCACATACTTCAAGTCATATTCACTATACAGTGAGGTTATGATACCGTTGGTATTGGGTAATATGATAGATGTTTTGACTTTGCTTGGACATGTTACTTATTTCACCACAGAGTTTAAAAAGGACTTTTAATATCTCCCCCAGAAAACAGCTATATAACCACAATAACGACACTATGTAATAGATATAGCTGTGTATACGTATTTCCCATTGTAATGATGTCTTCGTAGGAAAAGTAACGAGTAGGATAATCGATAAACATTTATTTTAAAGCGTTAATGTGAATGCCAACCTTAAAATAACAACTATGATATAAATGTAAAGTACTTGAATGTTTATTGACTCATAGGTTTCTATTTAACTGCATGAGCTTCCATCATCCATGAGATGACGTATTAGCTTAAGGTTCAACTAAAAATTTGACGTTTCACACCACAGACTGACTTTGGTGAGTGTATTATTCAAAACCAGGAAATAATGGACTAAGAGCTTCATCCTAGTATGGGATTTACTGACAGTGAAAATCCACGACCACACCAATATTGAATATTAACTGGAATTAGAAATTTAAATTGTTCGAAGTCAACTTCGTGAAATAAAATCGAAGAGCTCACAGGGATATCGGAATGTTCAGAGTTCGATTCCTGGGAGGGGGGTTATAAATATGCACTGATGAGAGTCATATTCTAGAACGAAACAGCTGTTGAGTTCCTCCTAACTTTCAACGGTTGTCAAACTAAAACTGGTTCGCAATGCAAACCATGGAATTCAACAATCAATTATTATTCATCGAATTTAGTGAGATTTTTATGCACTTATCGTTTACTATGATGTACATAGTTATCAAAGTATCCCAATGGTGAAAAAATAGTTTTAAATTGAAATTGTTTCATTTCGGATGTTAATTTGTTAAAAAATAAACGACTAACTGATTTAACATTAATAAATTGTAAAATAACGACAATAAGTATGTTGGCTTTTAAGATCACATACTTTCAGAATGTTTGCATGTTTTTGGACAATTTTATAAATCCATCAGGATGTTAATTAAGAAACTAATTTAAATAGAAAGGAATTCGAATTAGATAATAGCTAACTTAATAAATATCTATGTAAAACAAGATCAGAATTAGTATTACCAATATTAATAATCAATAACATATCAGTTTAATTACGACACATTTACATGCTAAGTTCTACGTAACCCCGGTTACAGGTAGCTCTGAGAAGAGTCGCCATTTAAGCAACCCATATGAGCTTAAGAAAATTAAAACCTAAATATCTAGATATCAAATAGTGTAAGTCGTTTATCAATTACAGGTTTATTCACTCGGGTTCGAGGTATACTTTTTGTATGAAGGTTAGTAACACTAACTGTGAAAGCTGATTGAATAACGTAGAGTGGGATTTCAGACAAGCAGTCATGTCGTTTGAAAGTCTTTGAAAGCTCTAACCGTTAAGTCATTGCTTCAGACAACGGGATATAGAATACACAAATGGGCAGTACTGAAATAATACATGCGATAGTAATATTCTGAAAAGAAAATAACTAAGTATTATAGAAACGACATCCTGTCATTATTTATAACCAATAATGCTCCAGACATGTTAACAAAAGTGGTTGTTATTATATCCGAGTTCTCCGAGAGAGAAATATTACACTGGATCTCTAAACAATCCATATAATGGTTTTTTCACATGGGACTTTTAACCTACACCAACCGGAGTGACTACAATAGGAATTACACAAACTGCCGCTCTCTAAACACGAGAAACAAACTGGTTTCGGAACAACTCAGTAGATGATCAAAGATAAATAAGAACATCTATCCAAATTAGAATGAATGGTTTTACAGTAGTTTCGCGCTAAACACTTAGAAAACTGAAACCGAGATTTAGCACGGCGATCTTGAGGGAGACGATCAAAATTATCGAATATGAGTAGTGTTACAAAATAACCGTTTACAAAACAACTGTCTAATCATGTTAAAATATTGAATACGAATTTTCAAAGCATTAATATATAAATCATTTGGTGTGTAAATGTGTTCAAATTGTAGTCAGTGAAGAAGTTTCGATATATCACATTAAGTGAAATTATATTTAATGAAACATCAATCAAGATGACATCACATTCAACCAATAGTTGTAGTCTGATGTGGATCTGGAAACTTTGAAATGAGTAACATGGGAATACACTGAAAATTGGTGTTTAGTAATGAAAGTGATCTGCACACAGACAACTGAGCCGATTAGAGATTATATTACGCTAGTGCGATATGTGAATTTAAAGATTTGTATACATAAGAGTTCATCAAAACTTACATAAATGGAAGATTAACCAATAACAAAGTGATCCAACCTAAGAATAGGTCCAGTATTTTTACAATCATAATTTATTTGAACACAACACATTTTAAGTGTTAGGAGTAAACTAAGCATTGAAATGGTGAGGTGGATTTTACTTTGAAGCAGTGACTTCGACTGAACAAAGGTTTAGGCAATCTAGTAGTCATTCCCTTTAAAATATCTTTTATATTCTAGCAAGTTTATCAAGAAGAAAATGTTAAGAAAACATGCATATCAGTTCTGATAAGAAAAAAGAGTTACTTAATTTTTTTTAAAAATCAGTTAAGTTAGATGTTAGGAGATCGGGAATCGACATCTGAATAATGTTTATTTTTTTTAATTCATATTGCCAGTGTGAGGATAGCCCATGGGTGAACTCTAGGAAGCTCTAAGGAGCTCAGAAAGAGCTGAAGATATTCCAACCAATCATCTTTTGGAGGGACATTCCACAATCTCGACGTGTAGCTGCCCTATTGGACAAATGCTAATAACCCCCTGTATACGGATTTGGGGACTATAGTGACGACTTCGTTATTACTAAAAACTATAAATACCTGAGTTTTGTACCATAATTGACACTGATTGGAATAGCATTCCTTTCATTTATCTTCTGTCTTCTAACTTGCAACCTGCGGGGTTCTAGAGGTCGAGTGCTCATTTTGTACGTGGTATAATAAGAAACTAAGTTTTAGATGTAACAACTAGCGACGGGGTTAACTTATCAAGATGTCATTTACCTTTGACTAATTCGAAGCCTTGCTAGAGCGTCAAGAAAAACGTTTCGAACAGTTCTAAATTCGTATTCTAGAAACAGTGTCTCTAATCGCATTTTTTGTAACTTATAAAGCGAAATGTCATAAACATTTCATTAACACGCCTGAATCGGTTATGCGATTGGTAGACATAATGATGTGTTAAAACAAAAACAGACAACTTGTTAAAATATCTAGATGGAAGGAATAGGTAGGTCCTCAATGTCTAGATCCATTTCCAATGATTATGTTACTTATGCCCGTGGAGATTTGTAGCTCAGGTGGGTGATTTTGATGGAGTTTTGTTCTCTGAGATGGATGGTTTGGTCGTGGAGCTTTCATTGATCTTCTGAACGACATCATCAGCACAAACTTCAAGTAGAAGTAAAGTATCCAAATTTGTTCACATATGGTTCATAGCTTATTCCGGACACCTGGATGTTGATTGGTTCTTGTTGACTTCAAACCTGTCATTGTTTACTCTTTTGTTTTGGTTGTATCTCCCAATGACAGGTTTGAGGTCAACGAGAACCAATCAACATCGATGTGTACAGGACAAGCTGTGGACCACATGTGAACAAATTTGAACACTTCACTTCTACCTAAAGTTTGTGCTGATGATGTCGTTCAGAAGAACGATGAAAGCTCCATCAAAAACTTATGCCCGTGAATTCAACCGAAATTGTGACTTGCAAAGATTATCTAATGTCTTTCATAATAACTATTTTATTCCTGAGGTGTTTGAATCTACAAATTAGACCAATCTCTAAAACACCTTTGCAACTACATTTATAAATTTATTATTTTGCATACATTATTTGGTTAGGATAGATGATTTGTGATATACAAAATTGAAGTTAATTCAAACAATTCGCTTAATATATATATATATATATATATCAAGGTGATTGAGTTTGTGAATCATGATTAGTTCAATTAAATTTACAAGTTCATATACAGTAAGATTTAACTGCATATTTAGTCTACTTAACATAATGTAAATGGTTTCGTGTCAGAAAAATCATTCCCTAGTTCATGTGTTATATGAATTGGAATGTAAATCATCTTAAAATAACCAAAGATGACTGTTGAAATACAACCATCCTATATCAAATTATACAAATATAAGGAAGCAAGAATAAAGAAGTATATCAAAATTCACCAAGTAGACAAACAAAACCCAGACCATCGACATACATACACACATTAAACTCTTTTTAGAATACCGAAATATCTCAGTAACATGAAATGAAAACTCAATGTTCACTTCTTAACAAATAATTTATTTGTTTACAAAATCTATTTGGGGTTACTATACAAGTAATGCCTATATACATGTAAAGTTATGTTGGTAATAATATACAGTACAATTATGTTGTTTAATTTCAACTCAGCATTTAATTTGTACTTTTTTTACGTTTACTCTTTGGCTTCTTAATGTTTTGCATTGATTCTTCCGAAACAATTTTGTTATTATTCACTTGTTTTGAAGGATCATTGGTGCATTTTTTATCTAAAATCTTTAAAATAATTGAAAATACATTACACTAAGTTGAAATAATATTACCAATACTGGATACTAATG